AGCCTGATGGGATTCATCCAAGAGTAGTCAAGCTGGCTGGTAACCATGAGACCTCTCTCAATGATTTCTGAATGGTCTTGGGAATCTGGAGAGGTCCCAGTTGACTGGAAGCTGGCTAACGTTGTCCCAGTATTCAAGAAGGGCAAGAAAGATGACCAGGGCAACTACAGGCCTGTCAGTCTCACTTCAGTGCCTGGTAAAATTATGGAGAAGGTTACTCTGGGAGTTACTGGAAAACACCAGGAGGGCAATGCAGTCATTGGTCACAGCCAAAATGGCTTCATGAGGGGAAAGTCCTGCTTGTTGAGCCTGATTTCCTTTTGTGACAAGATAACCCACCTAGCTGACCAAGGAGAAGCCAGTTGATGTAATCTGTTTGGATTTCAGTACAGTTTTTGATACTGTCTCTCACAAGATCCTTCTGGCCAAAATGTCCAGCCCACAGCTGGATAAACACATCATGTGGTGGGTGAGCAACTGGCTCACAGGTCAAGCACAGAGGGTGATAGTGAATGGGGTGACATCAGACTGGTGACCTGTCACTAGTGGGGTTCCACAGGGCTCCATCTTGGGCCCTGTGCTCTGCAACATCTTCACAAAGGACTTGGGCACAGGACTGGAAGGGATACTGAGCAAGTCTGCAGAGGACACTAAACTGAGAGGAGCTGTTGACTCCCTTGAAGGCAGGGAGTCCCTTCAAGACCTTGATAAATTAAAGGAGTGGACAATCACCAACCACAGGAAGTTCAACAAAGAAAAGTGCTGGATTCTGCACCTGGGATGGGGCAACCCTGGATGTACAGACAGACTGGGGAATGAGAGGCTGGAGAGCAGTGCTGCAGAAAGGGACCTGGAGGGGTCCTGGTTGTTGGCAAACTAAATATCAGTCAGTAGCGTGGTCTCTGGGAGGTGGGGAGAAGAGGGACAACGCTGCTTGGGAGCGTAAGAAGTGTTCAGTGCCTTGAAGCGAGAGCTGTGCTCTGATCTGTGCCCTGGGGGTGATCTGGTGTGCAGGCTGTACGCCAGAAGTCTGTTGTGTCCGTGTCACACCAAATGATGGTCAATAAGCAGTCGCAGCCAGCTCCCAGTGTCCGGTTTTGCAGACTGGAGAGGATTGCTTTAATGGTAACAGTCACTGCTTTGATTTTTTTTTTTTTCTTAAAGAATCCAGGGTAAATAACCTAACTAGAGTCATTAGAAGGTGCCTCATACAATCAGGACCCTGACAACTGCAGTGATCTGTTTGTGCTTTGAGCTCTGTTACCTTTCTAAGCTGAGCTCATCTTGGGAAACAGCTGCCCAGAAAAAAAGGAGATACCCTATTTCAGCCTCTTTCAATTCTCTGAATGAAACTGTAATTTGCTGTTGTGGTTTCTTATTGCTTATTAAATAAACTCTTCCAATAATCATGACCATAACTGCTGGCAAAGTAAATCTGATTTAACTAGCATGAGGAATAATCAAGACATCTTTGCATTAAGTTCCATCTTCACTATTTTAAAAAGACTTTATTCTCTTTGACTTAAGGCTTGAGCTTGAAAGTACCAGTCTTTGCCATTGAAAACAGCAGCTGAATCAACAGTGATAGTCTTGCCAAAGACAATGAATCACTAAATGTCTTCATGATTCTGTGGCTAAAGAGTCATAGTTTGCACAGAATTCACCTTTCCACAGATTTTTCTCAACATCATAAAGAATACTTTGAAGAATTTGCAACGTAGTCTAGAGTGTTGTTGCCTTAGTCAAGGACATCTAAACCATTTGCAAAGTTTCCTGATTTCAAGAATTGCCATATTTTGGGTGTTTCCTGCAATGGGAACATTGCTCAAGATTAAAGCTACTGGCCTTTGAATTAAACATCACAGATGTTTGTGGTCACTAGGCAAGAGTATGTCAGAAATTAAGTAATCAGGGACGAAAAAGATACAATAGAAAAGAGACAGTCATTGACAAAATGGGAGGAGAAAGCTCGAGGTATTCAAGCAGAGCTGTTGGATGCACAGATTTAAGAGTCTGTAAGTTGGCTGGGAACGCAGAGAATTTATCTGACAAAGTATGAATGAGCCTTCCACAGCAAAAATTGTGGTGACTGTTATCTCTCTTGATTAATTAACCCTTTGGTGGTTCTGGTTCAGCAAATTCCACTCATCTTGTCCCTTTCTTGTAGCAATTCAAAGCAAATCTGAGGTTCTTAGTCTAAGACTCTCCTTTTAAAAAAGCATTTCTTGTCCCTTACCCTGTTGCATATCAAGGCACATGTGCATTTAAATATTGCTGCTCAACAGTATCTCTGGTAATTCTCTGCTTACTTAGTGGCCCATCTAACTTTATTTGCTAAATCTTCTAAATACATGGTTATTGCTGGAACAGTTACAGTGCAAGTAAGAAAAATTTTTTATTTCCCCACTTTACTCTTTATTTGACAAAAAAAAGCCCCTGCCAATATCTGTGCCTTTCTTACAAGGCCTTCTGAGACCCTTGGGCTGTGACTTTTGTTTGTAAGGGTTAAACTGCAGTTCAGGCTTACTCAAAAAAAGTTTACCATGTGCTGAATACGTTGTCCTTTGCCACATCGAAAGCAGATTGAGAAGTAAAATGTGCAAAAAATGGCTAGAGAACATAGCAGAGTAAGAGCAACCAGATTTAGCAAGTTCTGTTCTCTGTTGTGTCTTCTGCACACCACCAAGCAGACTCAACATAATCTAAATGTGCTTATTATAGAGTTAACTTGAGCCTTTCACTCTAATATTGCTCCTACCCTGCCATCTTTATTGAAATCTTTCCCCAAAGTTTACTAGTGGTTTAAAACTGACCTGTCAGTCAAATTCTAACCAAGATTTTCATGCATTGATAACCAATTCAGTCTTAATCAAGTGACTACTGATAGCATCAGTGTTTCCCACAGTTGTTCCTATTTCCAAGAAGGATGGTAAAGCTCACTGGGCCCAGTGGTATAAGAGCTTAGTTGTTGTACTGCAGAAGGCTGTAAACCATTGGTGAAGTCTTACATGTGCTGCTGTCTCCAGTGCCCACAGAGAACTTGGTATGTCTTGGCAATGAGAACTCAAATACGTGAGGTTTCGTATGCTTGGTATTGAGTTCTATTTGGTGTCTGATCAATTCAGCATTAGGGATGCAACCTTAACTACTTGGGCAGTCCTAGGTCATAAACCTTAAAGACTGCAAAGTTTTCATTTCTCCTTTTATAAGCCTTACAAGATAGGGAAGAATTCAGATGCAAATGCCATAAATAGAGAACTGAGAGAGAGGAAGGGGAACTACTTACAGGTCTAATTTTAGAATAATGAGGCCATCCCAGGTACCTTTATGGTCAGTGGGAAGAGTGCTGTCAAGACAGACCATATGTGCACATTAGCAGCCCTTCAGCAGCTTGGTTTGGGTCATTCTTCCTTTGGCTTGTCTTCCTTCCCATGCTAGGCCAGAGGGAGGAGTGGATTTCACACAGCTGTGGAAGCCCAACTGTTTAAAGAGATGTCTGTGATGTTAATCCAAATAGGAAAAAGAAAGATCTCTTAAAACAAAATAACCTCCAAAGCGCTTCCCCTGCATCCACCCTCCCTCTTTGTGACCTGGGCCATTTCAGGACACGGCTGCTCCAGGAAGCTGTGGAGTCATGACACCATCGGGGCCACAGCCCTTAGGGAGAGGCGATGGGAAGCTGATGGGAGGACCCAAGCCCAGAGGTGCTTTCAGAGCACCACCACACTGATCTGTGCCCTGAGCAAGTGGCCCCAGCAGCCCCCTCCTGTCCTCTGTGTCTGGTTCTGGTTCCGTACAGGAGAGTCGTGGAGCTCCTGGAGTGTGTGGACCAACAAAGTTGATCAAGGGACTGGAGAATCTCTGCTATGAGGAAAGGCTGAGGGAACTGGGCCTGGACACAATAGATTGGACTCAATGATCTCAGAGGTCTCTTCCAACGTAATTCCTTCTGTGACTCTGTTCAGCCTTGAGGAGAGGCGACTGAGGGGGGACCTCATCAATGTCTGTCATTATCTGAAGGAAGGGCGTGACGAGGATGGACCAGGCTCTGCCCGGTGCTGCTGAGCAACAGGAAATGAGACAATGGGCAGAAACTGATGCACAGAAGTCGAACATGAGGAAGAACAAGAGGAAGAACTAAGTGACCGCACCGGAACAGGTTGCCCAGAGAGGGTGTGGAGTCTTCCTCGCTGGAGGTATTCAGACGCAATGCTGTGCTCTGGGATAACCCTGCTTGAGCAGGGAGGTTGGACCAGATGACCCGCTGTGGTCCCTTCCAGCCTGGCCCGTGCTGTGGTTCTCAGGTGGGAGGGGGCAGACCCCGTTCCCGAGGCTCCCACTGGGGCAGCGCCGCGATCCCCCCGCACCGCCGCCCCCCCGCCACGGCCGCCCCCTCAGGCAGGCCCGGCGCGAGCACCAGCAGCAGCATGACGTCACCCCCGCACGCGCAGGGCGCACGCGCGGCGTTGCGGCGCGCGGCCGGGCCGCCCCCCC